TTCTTCTCCCTATACAAAAGTGTATTGCATGTAATATATCACATTCTAGAGATAAGAAGCAGGCCAATAAACATCTAGATTGAGACTTGAGATATAGTTACCCCTTTACTTTCTTGTTACACCCAACTGCTTTGTTTTTTTTTGTTTTTTGTATTTTCTGCTTCTTCACAAAAGGGTCCCATCACAATTAGAACTTTCATTTACGCTTAAGCCGCACGGAAGTCAAAATTCAAGTAAGGTTTTATTTTTCCTAGGCTACGAGTGCCGAAGTGTGCAATGTGAGGTGTAGGTGTGGATTTGTGGCTGGACATGTTGGCATGGGTATAGAGTATGGGGTGGAGTGGATGTGGGTAGGAGTGTGGGTGGGCGTTCGAAGAGAACACCTACAAGCACCTGGTCCAAAATAACAAGCACCATTCACAAACACACGCCATCACCCCACATCCACTATCATTCCCGTATCCACATCACCACTCTCACACTAACGCATCCACACCATCAAACAGGATTATTGGGCGTGAGCATTGGTGTGAATGTGGTCGAACAGGAGATCCACATTCACTCCCACTCACATGTACCCACACCCTGAAATATTCTAATTTAATGAAGAACAAATCGAGGGTGAGTGGATGTCGATTTGCATGTGTTCGTGGTTCAGTAGGAGGCGCTCACAGTCACATTAACATCCAGATACCCATCCACAACCAGACTCAAATCTACATCGTTATGTAGCATATGTATTATTCTGCTTGCTTTTTCTTATCAAAAATGATTTTTTATCGCTAAACAAATGATGCTGGAAATAAAAGCTGCAAAAAACAAAAAAGAGATATGTACGCAATAGCAGAGTTCTGTCACATCTTTGCAATAACCGAATCGTTTGTGGAAGGATGTGGATATGGGGTATAAACTGTGTTCATTTTTCTCACATATCTACACTCACACCCTGCTCACACATACAGGCACACCCACATCCACTCATACCCTCAACCATGGATTACGTCTTGAACATTTTTTGTGCATACATTGTCAGACCCCGTAAACGAGGAACTTAAATCAGGCCACTCATGAGGGACTAGATACAGCGGTGACGTGGAGAAAACTTATCCCGTTCAACCGTGGATTAAATGTAATATTGAGCCATTGGGTGCTGTATGTGTAACCAGTCAAATTACTGACTACTTGTAAAGAGCTCACGGTAGCACCACCAACAGAGAGTTCGTGTTGTGTAAGACCATCGGGATATTGACCGACTTGCAAACATACACTGGAAATACTGTACGCTCCCGGAAGCTCGAGCTGTACATATTGAGGAGCATAGCGACCAGAGTTAAACAACGCCCCACTTTGAGAACGGTCAACAAGAGTATCGCCTTGAGCAGTGTCTGAACCAGCACCACTAATGTAATTGGATGCAGTGACCGTGGCAAGCAGTGAGAGAGCTTGAACTATAGAAAAGAAAATTATAAAACTATTATAACATGCATTAATAAACCAACCATAATTTCAATTCTAATTTATCTATTTCAGGCAGAAATAATTTTGCTAATGAAGACGATCTTTATTCTGTGTTAGAGTTTCTCGTTATCGGCTTCCGATAAGCATTCACCAATATGCAAGCTTAGAAAAGAATAGCAAAAATTTAGAGGGCATTGATATAAACTTCATGGATGTGAGTGTGGGTGTGGATATGAGTGAAGAGACGATAAACAACCACAACCACATCCACACTCATACCCACACCCACACCCTTACTTATCGATCTAAAGAGAAAATGATTAAAAACAAATAAAGATCAAAATGTAATTTAGATTCGACTAACAGTGAATTTAAAGAAGTCATGCTAGTCGCTACGACTCTTTATGATGGGTGAGGGTGTGAGTGTCTTCTGGTGTACTGCTCACATCCACACCTTCAAGATGGTTCATGATCATGATAATTTTCAGGTTCAGTTCATTCGAAAATGTTACAATTTAGTAATCATCTATTTCAATGCGATACTTAACACGTGAATTACGATAAAAAAAATTAAAAATGACGAATATATATGTCTAATCAAGTCGAGTAACGATTTCCATTTCAAGATCAGGTGACAAAATCGATTCAGGACAAATTGGAATCAGTTCTGGATCTTTATGAATGTATTCTGTATAACCAGTACCATTACGGACTAAAAGTGAACAACGTAATGCAGGTTCACTACCATAAATCTGTACACATTCATGGAAGACATAGGTATCGCCAACTTGTTGTAGAGGTGCTGTCATTGTCAATGTACCGTTCTCACCAGTTGAAAATGTTACATTTGCATACCATTTTCCAAATCTAGCGTTGGCCGATGTACCATCGGCAAATTCCGCATGAAAATAGCCTGTCATCCATTCAGGAAAAGGAGCTCCGATTCGACAAAACGATGAAGATGTTACAATCGATATAAAAGTGACACCAAAAATAAAAGTGAGAATAGTGTATTTATGCATTATTTAAAACAAGGATAGATCAACAATACTGAAAATGATGCTATAGCTTTGATCAACAGAATATATTTGCGCACACTGCTCTGTATACATGGGAATAAATATCATCTGGATTTCAAAATAGTACAGAAATGAATATGATAACTATTATCTTTGATTTAAACACTCTTTTAGTCACTCGAATTTATCGTGTATGTATTTAATAGTATTAATGCTGGTTTAGAAGTGTCATTTTACTTTCAAAATTGAACTTATGTAGTAATATGGATTAATGTAGGAATTAAATGTAGATATCACTGGGATAGTGCAATTGGTTTTATAAGCAACATTTGTCATCGAATCATTTGCTAGAACTAAAATATTTAAAGAGTTTATATTCGATACCTTTTTTTGATATCGAAAGAATAATGTAATGTGTAATTATGAAATTTTTATTCGCTGAATAAAAAAAAACATACTTGTCGGCGCCGGGAGTCGAACCCGGATGTTGACGTTGGCAACGGCAAATCTTGACCATTAGACTACACCGACATGAATTAAATACCATCATTCTCCTTCAGATTTATCAATAATAAGATCTAGTTGATATCAATATCAATGTATGTTCTAAACAAATAGCATAAGACATCTTTCACATGGAATTGTCTATATGAATTAAATATTGATTGAATAAAAATAATCAACCAGTAATGATCTGCATTGATAGAGTTATCGAAAGATCAAGGATATTCAACGGTGAAGTCTCATGAAAATATATTTGACAATTATTTTGTCAAAATTTTATTGAATAATTTGACATTGATACCATAGTCTGTCTCTCTTATCAAGTTCAATGTATGTTTTACTTAGTGGATGGATAGTTCGAGATTGAAAACCACATTAAGAGTGTGGGTGTGGGTGTGGGTGCGGATATCTGATTATATAACAACACCCACATCCACACCTCTAGTTGTGGAAAATGCTGGAACTTTTTCAACGAACAATATTTCAAATTCTGATTAAATCCTGGTTCCCATGTAGTGAGAAACTGATCAGAATACTGGAAAATTCTGTTTCAAAACCTGTCAGGATCCTGGATGCTTCTCGGCTACACATTTTTAATAGGATTAAAAGACATCGTGAACCTATTCCTGTTCAAATTTAGTGAGAAACTAGTCAGGATCCTGATATATCCTGTTTTCGTGCCTGCCAGAATCCTGGATACGTCTCAGTTACACGTTTCCATCATGATTTATGCGCTCCCTGAATCGACTTCTAATTTATATACCATGAGGAATTGTTCAGGATCTTGAGAAAGTCCTGTTTCTAATCTTGTCAGGATCGTGGAAAATTTCCTTCTACATGTTTCTACCAGGATTCGGTCGTTTGCTCAGGAAAAAAGGCGATTTGTGACAGAATCCTGCTCAGATCTGTCACAGAACTGGGACGGAAATGATTCGGATTTCCACAAAGATTATAAGTAGAAGACCTTTA